GTGGAGAGCCGGGTGTGGTGGCTCATGCCTGTAATCCCAGCACTTTGGGAGGCCGAGGCGGGTGGATCACGACGGTCAAGAGATCGAGACCATCCTGGCCAACGTGGTGAAATCCTGTCTCTACTAAAAATACAAAAAATTAGCTGGGTGTGGTGGCGCGTGCCTGTAGTCCCAGCTACTTGGGAGGTTGAGGCGGGAGAATCACTTGAACCAGAGAGGCAGAGGTTGCAGTGAACTGAGATTGTACTACTGCACTCCAGTCTGGCAACAGAACGAGACTCTGTCTCAATAAAAAAAAAGAAAATGAGGGGCCGGGCACGGTGGCTCAAGCCTGTAATCCCAGCACTTTGGGAGGCTGAGGCGGGTGGATCACGAGGTCAAAAGATCGAGACCATCCTGGTCAACGTGGTAAAACCCGGTCTCTACTAAAAATACAAAAAATTAGCTGGGCATGGTGGTGCGTGCCTGTAATCCCAGCTACTCAGGAGGCTTGAGGCAGGAGAATTGCCTGAACCAAGGAGGCGGAGGTTGCGGTGAGCCGAGATCACACCATTGCACTCCAGCCTGGGTAACAAGAGCGAAACTCCGTCTCAAAAAAAAAAAAAAAAAAAAAAAAAGACAATGAGTGGAGAGCCAGGTGCAGTGGTATGTACCTATAGTCCCAGCTGTACAGGAAGCTGAGGCAGGAGGATGAGCTTGAGCCCAGGAGATTGAGGCTGCAGTGAGCTATGATTGCACCACTGCTCTCCAGGCTGGGTGACAGAATGAGACCCTGTCTCTGGAAAAAAAAAAAAGAGGACATTTGAGGTCTGCCTCAGATGAGAAATAGAGTCTTACCAGCCACAGGGTAAGAATAAGCAAATGCCTGCAAGTGGGAACTGCATTCTTTTTTCTTTGAGACGGAGTTTCCCTCTTGTTGACCAGGTTAGAGTGCAGTGGTGTGATCTCAGCTCATTGCAACCTCTGCCTCCCGGGTTCAAGCAATTCTCCTGCCTCAGCCTCCCAAGTAGCTGGAATTACAGGCTTGTGCCAGTATGCCCAGCTAGTTTTGTATTTGTTTAGCAGAGATGGGGTTTCTTCATGTTGGTCAGGCTGGTCTTGAACTCCAGACCTCAGATGATTCGCCTACCTCAGCCTCCCAAAGTGCTAGGATTACAGGTGTGAGCCGATAATTTTTTTTTTTAAAGAGACAGGCACAGCAATTTTTTTTTTTTTTTTTTTTTTTTGAGACAGGGTCTCACTCTCACCCAAGCTGGAGTACAGTGGTATGATCATAGCTCTCTGGAACCTTGAATTCCTGGCCTCAAGCAGTCCTCCCTCCTCAGCCTCCTGAGTAGCTGAGACTCCAGGCATATACCAATGTACCCAGCCAATCTTTAATTTTTATTATTGTAGAGACAGGGTCTCGCTATATTGCCCAGGCTGCTCTCAAACTCCTAGCCTCAAGTGATCTTCCCACCCTTGCCTCCCAAAGTGTTGGGATTATAGATGCAAACAACTGTGCCTTCCAGAAACTGCACTTTATAGTCTGGAAACTTAAGTCTGATGTGGCCAGAATGGCACTCCTGTAAGGCACCTAGTCAGAGTTGAGGGTGGGCCAGGTCTGGAAGGACACTGACTCCCAGTTGAAATTGTAATGGATACCTGATTATGGGGGGGTCCATCACAGCTCTGTAAGCAGGGCAATGACATGGCCACATTTGTATCTTAGAGGGCATACCAGTGGCAGTGTGAAGAATAAATTGATGAGAGATACTAGAGGCAGTGGATGTAGCCAGATGAGATTGAGGGACTGAGGAGATGGGGGTGGCCACACAGAAACACAGCATGTACAGCAGTGGGACTTGGTGATCAGTTGGCTGAGGCAGGAGGAGGAGAAAGAAAGATGAAGGGTAACTGGGTGTAAGGCCTGCCAGCTGGGTGGAGGGTGCTGCTTTTAACTGGGGGAGGGAAAGCAGGAGGAGGAGCCTTACATAATAGCTTTTGGTTCTTCTCAGCCACTTAGGATTGGCACACCTGCCTTTGGCAGCACAGGGCCAGGAGTGGGGTGATGCCCATGGGAGCCTGTCTGCACAGGGAGGGTTGGCTAGTGGATCTGGAAGGAAATTAGGGCGTTCCTTGAAATCTGTGTATTCCTAATATATTTTGGCTGTGAGCTGGGCTACATGCTGCAATCATTATCCCCTCAAAAAAAACCAAGAAACAGAATGCCATAGGGTTAATAGTTCATTCCCACAACAGATACTGTGCATCAAACACTGCACACCCTGGGGATGCAGCAGTGAATGAGTCCAAATGTCCCCCAGAAGCATACGACCTGGGGTTAATGGAGTGGAGATGGGAACAAGGTGGGCAGCAAGTACTTAGGACCCCTGTAGATTAGTTCTCCCCAGAAGCATGAGCTTGGGGTTCAAATCGTGGCCATATAATTTACTGACAAAGTGACCTTGGGTCTGTTACTTGACTTCCACCTCACTCAGTTTCTTCATCCTGTAAATTTGGGATAATATTACTGACCTCATGGGATTGCGGGAATTAATAATAAGTGTAAAATTCCCATCATGTAATGTACAGTCAATATACATTAGCTGTTCTTGTATGTATTCAGGTAAGTTAGGTTTATAAAAAGGCCTATGGCTTTTTCAATTAAAATCAGTTGGAACTTTCACAATTTTGTGCTGTCATCCTAGGAGCTGCAAGGCCTCCATTATTCATCATCCTTACTATATTAGGGTAATGAGCATTTCTCTTCCCATTTTTGTATCAAGGGAGATAAGTTAAATCACTTGCCTGAAATGTTGGCAGGGCTCAAATTCGCCATCCCTACTTCTGCCCGCCAGGGCTGTGTTCCTTTTTTGTTTTTTATTTTAAAACGATCTGAACCATTTTCAAGTGTACAGCTGTAAGTGTATTCACATTGCTGTGTATCAGAGCCCCAAAACCTTTTTCATCTTGCACATCTGAAACTCTATACCCATTAAACAACGGGGTTCATTGATGACTGTCCTATGGGAGGTGGAGTGCTTACCTGCTACTAGGCTGTAAGCTTATGCAGCAGAACCTGAGTGGAGAATGTGTTGTGGAGAAGCAGTTTAAACTGGAACAAGTTGAATTAACTTTTCAAGTAAGGTTCATGTCTCTCTGTTGAGCTTGTGGGTGCTCTCTCCTATTCCAGGCCACCTCTCATATTCCAGGTCTATGATGTCACTTGGTCCTTGGATGGTGGGGGGTACATGTTGCATTACAGTAGGAAAACCCTTTAACAAGCTGGCTCAGCTTACTAGTTTTGATCTCAGCCAGGCGCAGTGGCTCACGCCTGTAATCCCAGCACTTTGGGAGGCTGAGGCAGGTGGATGACCTGAGGTCAGGAGTTAGAGACCAGCCTGGCCAACGTGGTGAAACGCTGTCTCTACTAAAAATACAAGAAATTAGCTGGGTGTGCTGGCGCACGCCTGTAATCCCAGCTACCCAGGAGGCTGAGGCAGGAGAATCACTCGAACCTGGAAGGCAGAGGTTGCAGTGAGCTGAGATCGCCTCACTACACTCCAGCCTGGGCAACAGAGTGAGACTCTGTCTCAAAAAAAAAAAGAAAAAATAGTATTGATCTGAAGCCCAGGATGGCATCACTGCGAATTTTAAAGGCCATTTTAGAGCTGTCTCAAAACGTGAAATGTCACTCAGAGGACAGTCTGGGTTGCTGACTGCCTTCTGGAAGCCGAACTTTGTCCTGTGTAAAAGACTAGATGAGAACTCATTTGTGGAGCATTTTTACAGTTTCTGTCACATCCACTGCAATACAGTTTATATAACTGTCCACATTCAGTATTTCGGTGGATGGTTTTTCCTCACTACAACCCTATGATTTGGTCCCATGCAGGTGCCATTATCACTTTTTTGTAGCTGAGGTGTTAGGTAACTCATTTAAAGTGACCCAGCTAAGAATTCAGGGCTCAAGGCAAGTACTGTGTTTCAGGATTTCTCACTCTAAACCTGTGCTCTGTTCTGTCATCTGTAGCACCACCTTGCTCTCACCAGGGCGCCAAGGACTAAAGTGGTCCACGGAGGCTGCTTCTGCCCGGAGCAAGGCGGCGCCCTTCTGGCCCTGCTGCATCACACTCAAGGATCGTTTAGAGGGCACTTGTGTCCAGCGGCTCTCCCTATTGTAAATATTTCAGTAAAGAGTGAAAACAAGAGACATTGTTACGTGTGGGGAAATGTATAATATTCTGCTTTTTTCCTCACTGGTTACTCTGCCTCCACTAAGTTTGGTATGTCCCGTCTCTGTCTCAGTGGCCACTGGAGGGAGGGTGTCTGGTGTTCTTCCCTGACTCCACCTGTAAATACAAACGTTACCTCTTCTCCCTGGCCTTGCTCTGTGCATTTGAGGTAGGAGTGTACTGAGTTTGGCCAAGTAGTCTCTCATGTCTCTAGACCTGAAGTTTCTATTGACTGTAAGTGGTAGAGAAAAGGAAAGTGCCCCCAAGGTGTGAACTCAAGTTAGGGAAAAAATATTTTTGGACTTGACAGTGCCTCTTAGTTAACTCTAATAATAGAGTCAAATATTTCTTTGTTTTTCAGGCAGGAGCATAAGATGTGGAGCTAGCAATACCCAGTTATAACATGGTATCAGAAGGAATATTATTTTACATGGAAGATGTCCTCAGTGATCTTGTCTCTTAATGTCCTCCCATTCTGGGACCCTGAATGGTCTGACTTTGTTTTCCCTTATGTCATTCCTGGTGTGAAGGACAGGGGGAATTATAGAGGAAAGTGGCAGCATGCTAAGTGGTATTCCTATCTGAACCACGCTGTCATCCCTTACCCGGCTCAGGCCCAGGGTTCTGGCTCCACGGGAATGGGCTTACCTGGGGACTGCTGCTGCTGCAGTCAGGATGACGCCATTGTAGCTGGGAGCAGCACACTGCCTGGAGGCCAGCCTCTTCGCTGCTGTGCCCAAGCTCTCCTTTCAGGTGACCGTGTTTTTAGTTACCCTTCTGAGTGTGATGGAGCAGATGGGTGTTTTGTTTCCCAGTTAGCAGCCGAGTCTGCAGTGTCCTTTGTGCTTTTGATCTCCCAGTATGCCAGCGTTACCTAAGCTTATATAGTCCCCACTGCACAGTTCTCTCCAGCAACAAACCATTTGTCAAGCAGGAGAGTCCACGGAGGGTTCATTTCTCACATATGGACTTGTAGTTACAGTTCCATGTGCTGGGTGTTTGGTACATGTTTTGTGTTTCATTTGCAGAAAGTACCTAGAATAAGGGCTGATTTGATTTGGGTAAGGGTGAGGGTGGTATGGTAGAAAAAGCATCATACGCCGGGTGTGGTGGCTCACGCGTGTAATCCCAGCACTTTGGGAGGCCAAGGTAGCCGGATCACCTGAGGTCAGGAGTTCAAGAGCAGCCTGGCCAACATGGAGAAACCCCATCTCTTTAAAAAAAAAAAAAGCATACAAGGAGCGGGGATTCCTGAGTTCTGGAGATGACTGTGTCATTTCGCTTTTTATTTTTATTTTTAAGATACAGGGTCTCGCTTTATCACTGAGGCTGGAGTGCAGTGGCATGATCATAGCTCACTGTAGCCTCAAACTCCTGGGCTCAAGCAATTCCCCTGCCTCAACCTTTTAGGTAGATGGGACCACAGGCATGCCCCAGCACGCTCTTTATTTTTATCTTTTACTTTTGGAGATGGAGGTCTTGCCATGTTGCTCAGGTTGGTCTTGAACTTCTGGCTGCAAGCGATCTTCCCACCTCTGCCTCCAAGTAGCTAAGATGATAGGTGCTAGCCACACTGCACCTGGCGATTGTACCAGTTCATTACGCTGAGACCTGGCACATCACCTCCCTATGTTTGAGGTGCTGTGATGGTGTCAGATGAGCTCCGCCCTGCTCAGCTCTAACCTTCCACAAAGTAGTGGCCAAAGGATGAAGGCGTGACCTGCATTGTAACATTGTGAAGGGATAGAGAGAGGGTTGTTTTGCATGGTTGGGGGGTACTTCACTGTTAATACGAAAAAGGATTGACAGTGAGCTTAACACTTTCTTAATCTCACTAGCTTGGGGAAAGGTTTTCCTACAGTACCCAAGATCAGCCCCTCCTCCCTGCATCCCTATATATCATGGGACATGGTAGCTCCTGCTAGTCCCTAAAGCATGCGGTGCTGGAGGCAAGAGGATTAGGGTTGCTGGAACTCAGAGTACCCTGTACTTGTTGGGGTTTGACTTGATTGGGGAGGGAGGTTCTTGGGGTCCCAGTACTTACGGCCGTGTTCTATCTTCATTCTCAGATGAGCAATGGCAGGCGCTGGTGAGCGCAAAGGCAAGAAGGATGACAATGGCATTGGCACAGCCATTGACTTTGTGCTCTCCAATGCCCGGCTTGTGCTGGGGGTGGGTGGAGCGGCCATGCTGGGCATCGCCACACTGGCAGTTAAGCGGGTAAGTGCATGCAGCCAGGGCCAGGGGTGGGACACGGTGCTGTGCTCATAAAGTGTAATGTTCTATAGAAAGAAAATGTCGAAGCATTCTTACAAATAGGAGGAAATGATCACAATGATGTTAAGTGAAAGAAACAGGTTTCAAAAGTATGTATAGAGTGATCCTCATTACATACATCTAGAAAGAAACATACCTGGTATTCACAGTTTGCTCTGGGTCATTTGTCTATGTCTTACATTGTTTAGTCTTCCCTGAGATTTTCCTCATGGAGCAAGGTATTCTATAATCTAGAATAAAAACAAAATGATTAAAAGTAGTTGAACTTACTAGAACAGAGCTTCTGGTGATGAAGTAGATTGGAAGAAAATAGGGAAAGAGGGGGCAGGTTTATGTTCTGTGTCCTCTCTGCCATTTCAGATGTATGATCGGGCAATCAGTGCCCCTACCAGCCCCACCCGCCTGAGCCATTCAGGGAAAAGGAGCTGGGAGGAACCAAACTGGATGGGCTCCCCCCGACTGCTGAACAGGGACATGAAGACAGGCCTGAGCCGGTCCCTGCAGACCCTTCCCACAGACTCTTCAGCCTTTGACACAGGTGAGAAGGGCTGCTACCCCTCCTGGGACCTCTCTGGACTTTCAGGACCACTCCTGCACTCAGCAAACGTTTCCTGAGCACATCTGTGCCAGGCACAGTGCCAGCACTTGCCCTCCATGCCAGACCCTTCTTTCTGGGACTGTGGCAGCTGTGGACTGAGCAAGCGTGGGAAGAGCTCATGTGCCTCTCTCTCTTGCCTTGGCAGATACATTCTGCCTGCCCCGGCCCAAGCCATTGGCCAGGAAGGGCCAGGTAGACTTGAAGAAGTCACGACTCCGCATGTCCCTGCAGGAGAAACTTCTTACTTACTACCGGAACCGGGCAGCCATCCCTGCTGGAGAGCAGGCTCGGGCCAAGCAAGCTGCTGTGGACATATGTGCGGAGCTCCGGAGCTTCCTGCGGGCCAAGTTGCCTGACATGCCGCTTCGGGACATGTACTTGAGTGGCAGCCTCTATGATGACCTGCAGGTAACAAGGTGGTTCTCACAGTGGGTGGGGTTGGGTGCCAAGCACAGTAGTGTTGCTGGCACAGGTCACTGTCCCAGACTAGCCAGAAAGACTGAGGTCTTACAGCCTCTGAATCCTGTGTACTGCAGCAGCATTTGGAGATCCATATTTGTTATTCTTTTTTTTTTGAGATGGAATCTTGCTCTGTCGCCCAGGCTGGAGTGCAGCTCGGCTCACTGCAACTTCCGCCTCCTGGGTTCAAGTGATTCTCCTGCCTCAGCCTCCCAAGTAGCTGAGACTACAGGCGTGTGCCACCACACCCAACTAATTTTTTTTGCATTTTTAGTAGAGAGGGGGTTTCGCCTTGTTGGCTAGGCTGGTCTCGAACTCCTGACCTCAGGTGATCCACCTGCCTCAGCCTCCCAAAGTGCTGGGATTACAGACTTGAGCCACCACCCCCAGCCTGTCATTCCTTATTTTTGTGTCTTTAATCCCTTCTCATGTTTTAGTCCTACTCACAAGTTTTAAGAAACTTTAAGAGGCCTCTTCCTTCCTATATTCTTGTCCCCGTCTCTCCTTTCGAATTTTCTCACTCTGTAGATTGATAGGGTGACATGAAAGAATTCTTAGTTCCCTTTTTTTCACTTTTGGAGACAAGAACACACTCCGTCACCCAGGCTGGAGTGCAGTGGTGTGGTTGTGGCTCACCGCAACCCTGACCTCTTGGTATCAAACAGGCCCCACCTCAGCCTCTCAGGTAGCGAGGTGCATTATAGACATGCACCACCACACCTGGCTAGTGTTTTATATTCATTGCAGAGATGGGTTTTTGCCATGTTCCTCAGGCTGGTCTTGAACTCCTAGGCTCAAGCGATCTGCCTGCTTCAGCTCCCAAAGTGCTGGGATTACAGGCATGAGCCACTGTGCCCAGCCTAGTTCCCATTCTTGTTGGGGGAATGTAAGATGGTGCGACCTGTGTTGGAGGAAGCATGTCTTTTGAACAGAATAAACCCTCAGAACTTGTTAAATTCTGCTCTGACAGGTGGTGACAGCTGACCACATCCAACTCATTGTGCCCCTTGTGCTAGAGCAGAACCTGTGGTCATGTATTCCTGGTGAAGACACCATCATGAATGTCCCTGGCTTCTTCCTGGTTCGTCGTGAGAATCCAGAGTACTTTCCTCGTGGGAGCAGTTACTGGGACCGCTGTGTAGTAGGGGGTTACCTCTCCCCAAAGACAGTTGCAGATACATTTGAGAAGGTAGTGGCTGGCTCCATCAACTGGCCAGCCATCGGGTCCCTCTTGGACTATGTGATCCGACCGGCCCCACCCCCAGAAGCCCTGACACTGGAGGTGCAGTACGAGCGTGACAAACATCTCGTCATTGACTTCCTGCCATCAGTGACCCTTGGTGACACAGTCTTGGTGGCCAAACCACACCGGCTAGCCCAGTATGACAACCTGTGGCGGCTGAGCTTGCGTCCCGCTGAGACGGCACGCCTGCGGGCTTTGGACCAGGCCGACTCGGGCTGCCGATCCCTGTGCCTCAAGATCCTCAAGGCCATATGCAAGTCCACCCCGGCTCTGGGCCACCTCACTGCCAGCCAGCTCACCAACGTCATCCTCCACTTGGCCCAGGAGGAGGCTGACTGGTCTCCAGATATGCTGGCCGACCGCTTCCTACAGGCCCTGAGGGGACTTATCAGCTACCTAGAGGCGGGAGTCCTGCCCAGTGCCCTAAACCCCAAGGTGAACTTATTTGCAGAGCTCACCCCTGAAGAAATAGATGAATTAGGATACACTCTCTATTGCTCATTGTCTGAGCCAGAGGTGCTGCTGCAGACGTAGGGCAGGTGAAGGTCAAAGCAGGTGTCGGTGGTCAGGCCCTGGATTCTCCATTAGATACACTTGGCTATGTAGTTGGTGCCTCACAGGGTCCCTGGTGCCGCCTGTCTTGCTGATCATCACCCTGGTCACTTCATGCCAATTAGAATGACATCTCTTCTGTCTCCTGTTTTCTTACCCAACTCCTTCTATTTTAGTTACCAATCACTGTGCTCCCTACTCCTCCCTGGCTCCAGGCTAATTTTTCTGGAATGAATTGAGAAGGTAGAGTGCTGGCCTGTGCTGATGGACCACTTGGTGTTTTGCATGTCAGCCCATGTTTGCTGCCTCTCTCTGGCCTGCCTTGCCCATTTGCCTGTTCCTACTCAGTGTCTTTTCTATCTTTTCCTCTCTCGTTCACGCCTTCTGTTTTGCTCTTGTCCCTGGAGCATATCTGCCTAATTAAGATGTTGCCTTTTAGTTGAATGTCACTGAAGAGCTGTGATTGTATGTTTCAAAGCTGAACTCTGCAGAGTGAGCGCTGAGACAGTATTTAGGGTTTCTGGGAGTGAGGCTGGTAGAAGAGCTGGTCTTTGACCCCAGTTCCTGGAAAAGAAGTCCGTTCTCCCACCATTTCCTGACCCATTCATAAATGCTGAGAGCATCACTCATGGGAACACTGTTAATGACCCACACAGGATAAACTGGATGCAAAGTTATTTGCAGATTGAATTTCTTGGTGGCTGTCAGCAAAAGTGCAGAGTAGGGAAGCAGAGCTGGTTAAGGGCCTCATGGAGCCTTTGTGTGCCCCATGTCTGCTCCTCATCTATGGCTGCAGGAGTCGGACAGACAAGGAAGGATGGGGTTGCCAGGGCAGCACATCTATATTCATTGCAGAGATGGGTTTTTGCCATGTTCCTCAGGCTGGCATGTTCCTCGCTTGAACTCCTAGGCTCAAGCGATCTGCCTGCTTGAGTTTTCACCCCTTCTCCTTTTATTGCCAATTAGGACAAGGCCTTGAAGGAACACAGCCTTAGCTGCCAGTTGAGGATGAGGGAGGCTGACAGGAGGCTGAATGTCAGCTGGAAAATCCAGTCACTAGTTAGGATTTGGTGGCCATGTTTTCTCCTCAGACAGGCCCTGCTTTTCTAGGATGTGTGGCCTTAGAGCAGGAACAGGCCCAGCACTGGCCCTTCATCCTCCAGTGTCTGTGACTGGAACGTGAGCCCTCCGGGCATGGCCAGAGGGCAGGTGAGCATGCGCAGACCTCTTTCCCTTGTCCTATTTCTCACCCAGCACCTGGGGAGATCGGTGCTACCAAGGAAGAGAGCACACAGATGAGACATAGGGGAGGGAGGTGGGCACTTCCTCTATTCCTCCTCATTTCCCGCTGCTAAGATGCAGTATTTTTTGCCAGGTAAATGGATCCTGCAGGTGGGGGAATGTTTAATACACCATGTCCCTTTGTTGTTTCGTGTTTTTTCCCTGTTTGTGGCAAGACCGATGATAATTCTGTGTCTCCTCTGCCCATTTAGTATTTGTTTTCCTCCTGTTTTTTTTCTATTACTACCTCTCCATCAGTGAGGTTCTGGTGAAGCTCTGCAGCTGTCTCATTCCTTCCCAATGACAGGAACAGGAAATGGCTAGCACTGATAACCTCAGCACCCCTCTGAATTTAGGGTAGAGATTCCTGTCCCTCTTTTGTCACAGATCAGGAAGTTGAGAACTAGGGTTAACCTTGACTATGTTTAGAGGTCTTCTTGCGTCCTTTCCCCTTAACAAGGATTTCTTATGGTGGTTCAATTTCATTTGCATGAAGGTATTGAGAGGGAACAAAAATGATAAAGCTGAGAACCTTGAGACAGCTCTACCCTGTCTGTTGGTCAGACTTAAAGGGCAGTTAAAAAAAAAAAAATCTGTATGCCTGAGTACCACCCTGGATGAATGCTTTAGAAGGGATGGGGTGAAGCCTGACTTTGAAGGTTCCAGTGTACCCATCATGTATTCATTAGAAGGGAGAGGAGAGGATTGACAGGGTATTGCAGAAGTATAGCTTATTCACTGAGATAAATGATTTGGTTTCCCTGCCATGAGTATTAAAAAAACTTAGTTTTCCCAAGCTGGCATCTCTGACCAAATACTACATAAAACATTAGAAGGAGGCTGGGTGCAGTGGCTCACGCTTGTAATCCCAGCACTTTGGGAGGCCAAGGTGGGTGGATCACTTGAGGTCAGGAGTTTGAGACCATCCTGGCCAACATGGCAAAACTGTCTCTACTAAAAGGAAAAAAATTAGCCGGGTGTGGTGGCAGGCACCTGTAATCCCAGCTACTTGGGAGGCTGAGGCAGGAGAATCACTTAAACCTGGGAGGTGGAGGTTGCAGTGAGTCAAGATCGTGCCACTGCACTCCAGCCTGGGTGACAGAATGAGACACTGTTTCAAAGAGAAAAAAAAATTGGAAAGAGAACTCAAGATTTTAAAGAGTCTCAAGTTATTTAAGTCGAGTATAACTATCATTTTAGGATAGCAAATGAGTTTATCTTTCTGAAACAGCACCGCTTTCAACTGTTTGATAAAACCGTAACTTTGTCATTTCATAAGCAACAACCTCTTAAGAAGACCTCAGAACTAGAAGCAGTGGGAACTCTCAGCCCTGGTCCTGGTGGGTTTGCTGACCATGACTGGGCAAGCCATTCTTTTTGCTGCCATCTTCCTCGTCATAAAATGTGGAACATAGCAGTTGCTTTTGAGATTCTGGCATGGAAGAGGACAACATTCTGCACCTGCCCCCTTTTTTAAATCGTTGGGGAAAGCTGAGTAACTTTCCCTGATACTCTGCCTTCCTGTTCAGTAACTCTTACTTTTGCCTGAAGTAATAGCATTTTCTCTACTTCTCCATCTAGAGATTTTTGTGTGTGTGCCATCAAGGTTAGCAAACCTTATACTTAGCCTAACACTTAAAAAATGCACTCATCTTAAACCTAATCAATTCCAGAGTTTATTTTGGTTCTCCTCTGTTGCCCTTCCTAAAATATGAGTTCAAGACGACAGTATTTTTTTCTTTACATGCTTGGTTGTGACTTTTTACATTTTATTTAATTAAAGGAAAGAAATGTTGAAGCTCAAGTTGAAAAAAGTGTCACAGAGGCCGGCCTTCAGTCTCCTGGGTCCTGGCCCTGGTGGGCCACTTGTCCATATTCCACACTTGGTGACTGTGCTCCCTGCACTCCACTCAAGTTGAGAGTTCAAATAATCTTGAAGGAGAATCAGCTTCAGGATTGAATGACCCAGGAGAGTCCCCGAGGGGGTTTCTGTAAATAGAGACTACTGCGTGTGTCCAGATCTCCCTGCCATGGTAATTCCTTGGGACTCTGACTTGGCTGAGAACTTAATGCTGGGATTTGTTAGAACTCTGCCCTTTTATCTGAAGCTCAAGGCCAAGGAGAATTATAGGAGACTTAGGGTAGAGCTGACCCCTGTAGCAGGCTCAAGGCTGCATCCCTTTTAGATCCAACTTAACTGTAAGTGGCCAGAATACCAGAGATGTGGGGTCTGTGGTCAGCTGCACATGAGGTGTTTACCTTTACATTTTGGTCACCTGTAGTCTTTAAATTCTTGGTTCCTGAGGCGAAGCCCACAACTTGCCTTCTAGTCACTTGCCTGCCCACCAGTGGTGGTTGATGTGTTAGCTGGTAAATTTGGAATCAGTCACCAGTCTTTCCGTCCTGTCTTGGCTAAGTCTATTTAGGTAGAGTCAGCTTAGCCCTGAGACCCAGAGACCTGCTGTCCTTTTTCTCCCTGAGGGAGGAAATGAAACTGGGGAACACAATGTCCTTCCATAGCATGGGAAGAAGAAAATAAAATCTTTCGAACAGCTTTGACTTGTGTGTGGCGGATCAAACATTTTCCTGTGGGAGTGGTACTGGGTCTCCATTTTCAGCTAGGGGAACCTTTGAAGTGTTTGAGCTAGGTCTCTATAAGAGAATGTATGGGACAAACTGCTAATGGAGTCATTCTTCCACGACCTTTTCAGTGTCGGAACGGGAAGTGTTACTTTAATTCTTAACCATCTGCACTATCCATCAGGAGGTAGGTTTTTTTCCTTGAGACATGTCTCACTGTGTTACCCTGGCTGGAGGGCAAAGGTGCGATCTCTGTTCGCTGCAACCTCTGCCTCCTGGGTTCAAGCAATTCTAGCTGAATTACAGGTGCCTGCCACCATGCCTGGCTAGTTTTTGTATTTTTTTTTTTTAAGTAGAGACGGGGGTTTCACCATGCTGGCCAGGCTGGTCTGGAACACTCGACCTCAGGCAATCCTCCTGCCTACACCGCCCAAAGTGTTGGGATTGCAGGCATGAACCACCATGCCCGGCCAGTAGTGTCTTGTCCTGTGGCTCCCTAGATCTGCCTTTGGAAGATGTGGTTAATGGCTCAGGGATTCTTACTGCATTTGCATGAAAAGGCTAGACAATTTCCTTTTTTTTTTTTTTTAAGACAGGGTCTTGCTCTGTTGCCCAGGCTGAGTTCCAGTGTTACAATCACAGCTCACTGCAGCTTGGAACTCTGGGCTCAAGCAATCCTCCCACCTCAGCCTGAGTAGCTGGGACTACAGGCTGGAGCCACTGCTCTGGAACCAGCTTCTGTATATCTCGACACTCATGATTCCCCAAGGAGAAAGAAAAACCATACTTTTATTCCAGCATCCAGTATGCCTTGTGTATACCGGTTGTTTCCTTTCAGTAAATAATAGTGAAGAGTCCTCTGAGGCACCAGGAGGATGTGATGAAGACAGTGACAGAGGTCAGGGTAAGGAAACCTGAGTTCTATGACCGGTAGCAGCAACAGCAACCATTATTGGTTACGTGTTATCAGGTGCTGTGCTAAGTGCTTTACATGTATGATTTCACTTCATGGGGTAAGGAGACTCATCAATAGCCTCATTTTACAAATGAGGAAACCGAGGCTCAGAGAGGATAAGTCACTTAGCCAAAATGTCCCAGCCAGGATTCTTTTGCGTGTTCTCCCCAAAATGTCTTCCAACTCCTACTCCAAACTCCTTCCACTGGGAGCTGCGTGACTTTGAGCAAGAAGCTTCATCCCTTTGGGCCTCCATTAGAAAGGATTTCTTTGGGCGAGGTTGAATGAGCGCAGCAGATGGCCTGTGGTTACAGCAGTGCTTCCCCGGTTTTTTTGTATCACAGCGCTCATAGAAATACTTGTGTGGCTCAGTGAAATGGAGGCGGAAGGTTTCCACCTTCGCGGGGCCTGACTGGAGGGAGCTGGGGGACTATGGGGAGGTTTCTTGTATTCTTAAAACAGACTACCCCTTCCCAACGCACAACCCCCAGCAAGTGGCCGTGGGTTCCCAGGCGCCTCTCCTCCCAGGGCCATGAACGTGACTGCTGAAAAGCGGGTTAGGCTGGGGAGTTCAGAATCCGGAGTGAATCGAAACTACCCCAGAGAGACGGCAGCGAAGAAAAATCCTGTTCCTAGGGGAACAGAACGGAACCTGAGGCCACCAGAAGTTCCCCTCTGATGCAATTCCGTAGCAGCCTTGCACTTGAGCCGGATGAGAACTGTAAAAACCCAGGTTGGACGACAGGATGGCGCGTCTTCCCGGCTCCTTTCCAGAGTTTAGGAGGGGCCATGCAGACTCAGCCGGCCTTTGCGGGCAGGTAGGCGAGGACGGGGCGCCCTCTTAAGACCCCTTCAGCCTTCCGAGGACAGCACCATGTTGGCTATGGATGGGGTCTCTGGAAGACTCAGGCTTGGTGCAGGTAACCCCGCGGCTTCCGCAGGCCAGAAATCAGCGCAGCGTGCACCGAAGAAGCGCGCAGGCTGGGAGCGGCGACATAGCCGCCAGCGCGGACCTCCATTGAGGGCGGCGGGACCGACAGCTGGGGCCGGGCCTCGAGGCCGCTGTGGGTCGCATGGCACTAAGGCCACCTGGGGGCAGAAGTCGGCGCGATCATGGCGGGCTAGCAGGCGGGAGGGGCTGAGACAGAGCAGACAACCCCGAACCCCGGCCCTTCCCGCGCAAGCCCTGGGCTCCCTCTCGCAGCAGCCACCCACCTAGGGCCCTGAGCCAATAAGAGCTCGAGGTATATATGACTCACCGCGCCTGGGCCAATCAGCTCGACGCGCGCTCTACACCAGCACCTCGCGCGATAACCTGGCGGCCTCGGCCTTCACAATGAAAACCCTCTGTGGGAAAACCACCTCTCCCCGCCCACTGCGCCGACACCGGAAGCGAGGCGTGTCTGAGAGATCACTCCGCGCTCCGGCGGCAAAGGTAAGAACGGACTCTTTAATCATAGAAACTAATAAAGTAGTGCGCCTCTCTCCTTTCATGAGGCCATAGAAACAAATTCCTTTTCCTGTCACAGCTGCGCCCGGACATAGGTGGTGGGGGCGTCAGAGGGAGGGAAGCGAGCAGACGGGAGGAGACGGTCACGTGGCTGCTGCGGAAGGATAAGTCTGTGCTGTGTTCCAGCGGAGGCGAACTTTATAAAGGGCCGACGGGCGGCGGCTGCGGCCATTTCTACTTCTCTCTCTCATAGATGTAGTTCTTCACGCACGTGCGCGCCTTCCCTCCTCCCCGCCCGCAGGGTCCAAGGCCACCATGGCGTATTAGGGGCAGCAGTGCCTGCGGCAGCGTTGGCCTTTGCAGCGGCGGCAGCAGCACCAGGCTCTGCAGCGGCACCCCAGCGGCTTAAGCCATGGCGTGAGTATCCGGGCGGGCTATCCAGCCGTGCTCCCTGGGTCGGCGAGGGTTTTGGGCTGGTGGGGCGCGGCATGGGGCCGGGACGGTGCCGCCAAGAGGGAAGCGATTTTACGAGCGCCAAGGACGCTGTAGTCTCTGCTTGGGTGTTTCCGAGACGCTCGCGTACCCGGGGCCGGGAAAGCGCAGCTAGGTGCCAGGACTGCTTCCCCGGGGGTCTCGCCACCCTCGTACCTCGAGACGTTTCCCTGAGGGTCTCAACTGTCCCACCCGCGAAACGTGGCAGAAGCCAAGATGGCGGCCGCAGGGCGGCGCCGCGGGCGTGAGTCACGGGCGGGCGGTGGGCGGGGCGTAGCCGCCCTGGCCGTATTTGGACGCGGAGACGGAGCGCTTTCCTGTTGGCCAGTGAGGGAATGGCCGGTCCTCCACGATCGTCCATTTTGTGGAACCTGAGCTGGAAGCGGGGGGAGGGGGGCTGGGGGGGGGAATACATCTGCCCTGTCTCTAGATGGCCGGTTTAGCCGTCCCACCTCATAAGTGGAAAGATGAAATTCTTAGATCAGCTAACGTAATGGGACTTGGCTTCTGATTCTTATTCAGGCTTCTCACGGCATTCAGCAGCAGCGTTGCTGTAAGCGACAAAGACACCTTCGAATTAAGCACATTCCTCGATTCCAGCGAAGCACCGCAGCATGACCGAGATGAGTTTCCTGAGCAGCGAGGTGTTGGAGGGGGACTTGATGTCCCCCTTCGACCAGTCGGGTTTGGGGGCTGAGGAAAGCCTAGGTCTCTTAGATGACTACCTGGAGGTGGCCAAGCACTTCAAACCTCATGGGTTCTCCAGCGACAAGGCTAAGGCGGGCTCCTCCGAATGGCTGGCTGTGGATGGGTTGGTCAGTGCCCCCAACAACGGCAAGGGTGAGTAGGCTGCCACCAGCCACATCCAGGTGGGATCTGGGGTTAGGGGCTTGCTATCTTTGTGTCTGACTCACTGGGCCCATCACTCGTATCTTTTGCAGAGGATGCTTTCTCCGGGACAGATTGGATGTTGGAGAAAATGGATCTGAAAGAGTTTGACTTTGATTCCCTGTTGGCTACAGATGACCTGGAAACCATGACAGATGAGCTTTTGGCCACGTTAGATGACACATGTGACCTCTTTGCCCCGCTAGTCCAGGAGACTAATAAGGAGCCCCCCCAGGCGGTGAACCCAATTGGCCATCTCCCAGAAAGTTTAACAAAACCCGACCAGGTTGCCCCTTTCACCTTCTTGGAACCTCTTCCCCTATCCCCCGGGGTCCTCTCCACCACTCCAGATCATTCCTTTAGTTTAGAACTGGGCAGTGAAGTAGGTATCTCTGAAGGAGATACGAAGTCAGACTCCACTGCTTACATAGCCATGATCCCGCAGTGCATAAAGGAGGAAGACACCCCCTCAGATAATGATAGTGGCATCTGTATGAGCCCAGAGTCCTATTTGGGCTCCCCCCAGCATAGCCCCTCTGCCAGGGGCTCCCCAAATAGGAGCCTCACATCTCCAGGTGTCCTCTGTGACTCTGCCCGTCCCAAACCTTACGACCCTCCTGGAGAGAAAATGGTAGCAGCAAAAGTAAAGGGTGAGAAACTGGATAAGAAACTGAAAAAAATGGAGCAAAACAAGACAGCAGCCACTAGGTACCGCCAGAAGAAGAGGGCAGAGCAGGAGGCCCTCACTGGTGAGTGTAAGGAGCTGGAAAAGAAGAACGAAGCTCTAAAAGAGAGGGCAGATTCCTTGGCCAAGGAGATCCAATACCTGAAAGATTTGATAGAAGAGGTCCGCAAGGCAAGGGGGAAGAAAAGGGTCCCCTAGTTGAGGGTAGTCAGGAGCGCAAGGTGCTTGTACATAGGAGTCTCTCGCTGTAGCTGTGTGTGTGAATAAATTATTTTGTAGTGAATACTTCCATGTGTGTAATTCCTTTTGGCACAGTAACAGAGTGAAACCGCTACCATCCGCCTGCCCCATGCTGGTCTTAATGTGCCCTGTGCAATCTGGGGAGGAGGGCAGTCTAAGACTAGATTTGTACCCAGGGTGGGATTTGCTTATCCCTGCTAGGTGTAGACCATGGTGGCTGATGACTTTGATGGGGCTCTCTAGAGCTGGTTGTAGCAAGCTGGGTTTTGGCCAGAGCTGAGTGCTGGTCAGGTAGGGAGGCGGTTTGAAGGGAGGAACAGCCTGGGCCTTCACCTGTGTGTTCAAGGCCTTCGTGCCAACATCCTGTCACATAAAACCCTGGGCAAGGTTGCACACTCCTTGAGGTGAGCACGTAGGATTAGGTTTCACTTATAACCTAAACAGTTCTGCAGAAGCCTCTGAGAAACAGCTCCTTTTGGGACTTGATGTTGAAGCAGGACGCGGGCTGGAGACAGGCCTCTTTCTCCTTACCTGGGGGTGGAAATACGACATTCTGCACAGGTTCTGGTTAGAGCTGGGCACTAAGGCAACAGTGAAGGCTGTTGTGCCTGCCGCTACCTAAACTAGAAGGCCTGATGTCCTCGGGTTATGTTAGGATGGAGCAGCACTTAGAAGCCAGGCAGTATCTCACTGCAGTTTCAGACTTACCCGTGGGTGGGGCGCATTTGCCTTTTCAGGCAGGCAATGCCTTTTGGGTTGTGGATGAATGCTTGAATGCAAGGATAAGCCCAGCCTGGGCAGATCTGGCCTTTTGTGTCTGGGTATCAGCCAAACCAGTTTTCCTCATGTGGAAGGTGGTGTAGACCAGGTGTGTCCGGGGAGCGTCTGGGAGGAGAGTGAGGGTGAGTGCAGCCCAGCCACTGCTCTAACAGCACAGCATGCGTGTCCTTTAATCCAGTCCCTGCAGAAATCTAATGGCGCAGACACCACACTTGCTCGCTGCAACCCCTGCTTCCCAGGTTCAAGTGATTCTCATGCCTCAGCCCCCTGAGTAGCAGAGATTATAGATGCTTACCACCACGCCCAGCCAATTTTTGTATCTTTAGTGGGGATGGGGTTTTTGTCATGTTGGCCAGCCTGGTCTTGAACTCCTGACCTCAGGTGATCGCCTCCTAAAGTGCTGGGATTATAGGCGTGAGCCACAGCGCCCAGCTCACCCAGAAGGATTTTGAGCAAAGAGGTAGAGCTGGGATTTGAACCCAGGACTCGATCTCCAGTCTGGGCTCTTCATTTTGCCTCTTGAGCTGGAAACAAATGGCCTGTAATGACCAGCATGCTGGGGCCCACATGGCCAGCATAGACTGTCACCTGAGAGCCAGCTGTGGATGTGTTGCATGCCACTCGTAAAGAAGTTGCCCAAGGCACCAGTGGGAGTGGGCATCACACATGGGTCTTGGACCTCGTGCTCTTAGAGGTCTTTCCTGCCGAGATTCTAGAATTCTCCAAAGGCCATGGGCTTCCATCCACATCCAGGTTCTAAATAGGCGTAGGGTGTGATATCAGTCATCCAGTGCCAGTGGGGGTCGGCCCTCATTTGGCAGATGAGAAACAGGCACCAAGAAGGGCAGTGTGGGCCAGTGGTGTGAAGCCAGGATGCTGGGGCTGTGCCCTTCCCAGGCCCCTGCAGCTCAGGCCTCCCAGACACAGAAGGCACCAGCTCAGGCCACAATGGCTTTGCCCTCTTCCCTGACCTCACCTCCTCCCCTCACTGTACTCCAGCCTTTTCTCCATCTGTCTGTTAGGCTGGGTCCTGCCTCAGAGCCTTACACTTGCTGCTCTCCCTGCCTGAGAGTTTCCCTTGGCTGCCTCCCACCCTGTTCAGTCTGATGCTACTGCAGGAGCCTTCCAAGGTGACCCTGCTCATGTCCCAGACTATCCTTTGCCCTGTTGTATTTTTTTCATAACTTTTTCTCCATTGAGTTTATCTGTATACAGATCCACTTTCTCTTCTCCATTCGCAAACTACAATATAAACTCACTCTATGACAGCAGATATTTTGCTGTCTTGTTCATTCCCATATTTCCAGGACTACAGAAGTGCCTGGGAAATAGCAAAAATGACTGCAGCGAACATGTTCAAAGAGCTCTGGGGCTCTAGGTGCCTTCCAGTGATGAGCTCAGAGTCCTCCTGAGAGGCAGTGGAGGGTCTTATGACTGTCCCCCTCTTGCTGATGCAGCTGAGACCCAGACTTAGGCACCCTTGGGAAGCCTGGCCTGGGGGTAGACACTGGCCCAGCGGCAGCTGGTATAGGCAGTGATAGCAACCTGGACAGACCTCTGCATTTGGCTGGGCAGGTGTCTGTTCCAGAGAGCCCAGCACAACAGGGGTATGGGAAGAGGGGGCAGGGATGAGGTTGATGTCCGGCCACCACCCTGCATGTGGCAACTTGTGGCCCCTGCCGGGCCTTGGCTAGCCCAGCCTGGGCTGACCAGGTCAGACGTGGAGCTGGGTTTTATCCAGTGACCAGGGACCCAGGGGATAGGAAGGGGCCTCACAGGCAGGAGTGGTTGGCTCTCAGCATTTTCTCCTGCTTTATGTCAAGGCTGTAGGCTG